TACTTGAATTTTGAGTTGCAAATGTTTGGTCTTTCAACTTCATGTCCCTTCTGATATTAGTTGTTAGTTTTACCTTTTTGAATTTGTGCTCTATACTCTTTTAGATTTTTGGGGCTCTTTTTTTGTAGATAACTTCTCACTTTGTAGCCCAGGCTATTCTGAAACTCAATATGTAGTCTAGGCTGGCCTTGTGGTCTTAAACTCCTGTCAGTCTTCCTGCCTCAGCCTCCCAAGTGCTGAGATTTTAGGCATGAGCCACCTTCATAAATATTCTTGAGCTGTGCTCACAGTTGCAGTTATTTGGATTTTGATCTTAGGAGTTGGTTAGTACTCCAGATTTTGATCGATTTTGATCTTAGGAGTTGGTTAGTACCCCAGAAATCCTTAGTATAGGATTAATTATCCCTCCGGACTAAGGCCTTTCTGAGTATACTACTCAGTGTCCCAGGAATGATGAAATGTTTTTCATCTGGCTGAGGGGAGTAGGCACTATGACCGGCCTCATGTGAGCTCTCATCTCAAATCGTTCTTTTCCCGGCCTATGAATGTTTTCTCCATAGTCTACCGATCAGTATTTTGGTGAATACCTGCAGTGAGTGAGCCTCTGCGGATCCCTGGAATTCTTTCTCAAGGCTTCTCTGCAGTTCAGAGACCTCTCCAGTTCTCCGAGGTCTCAGCTCCATTTCTTCACTTCAGGGAGTTTGCTAGGTTTTTCCTTGATTTCCTCTCCCTACCCAGCTCTGGGAACTCTGGCTAGTAAGCCAGGACTCCTGCAGGCCTCACCTACTGCCCACTCTTCTCTTTCTTTGTTTCTTGAAAACTTTCATCCTGTTTCTGGCTGTTGTTTCAGGTGGGGACAGTGAAATCCAACCCCTGCTGCCTTATCCTGGCCAAAAGAGAATTTAAAATGTTTTTAATGCGTATGAGTGCTTTGTCTGCATGTATGTAAGTGCACCACATCTGTATAACGCCCAGGGAGCCAGAAAAAGGTGTGGGATTCTCTGGTACTGGAGTAATGGATGGTTGTTACTTGCCATGTGCATATGGGAACAGAACTTGGGTCCTCTGAAAGAGCACCCAGTACTGAGCCATTTCTCCAGTCTCCAGTCATCTCTATTAGTTTACAAAATGAATCTCAGGGATGGGGAATGGACCAGAGGTTAAGAGCATGTATTGCTCTTGCAGAGGACCTGAGTTCAATTCCTAGCACCTGTGTTGGGTGGCTCACAACTGTCTAGAACTCCAGCTCCAGGGGATCTGATGCTTCTGGCCTTCTTGGACACCTGCACTTACACACACACACCCATACACAGACATGCGCAGACATATAAATAAAAATAAAACAAATCTTAAAAATGAATCTCCCACGAGCTCAACTTATTGCCCATGAGATGTATCAATTATGTTTTACAGCTATTATATAATATTGAGCTATGACTGGGAGATGGACGAACACATTACATTAAGATAAAACATTTCACTGTTTTGTGGAAACACTTTTTCAGTGTCAGTTAAAGGGAAACTGTTACCACAAGTTGATTTTATCAAGAATCAGGAAGTAGTATGAGATCATCATTGGCTTCAAAACGTTGTTTTAAGTAGGAAACTGTATACACAGGAGGTGTCTAGCTGGGATGCATACTTGTCAGAACTGTGTGGCTGGGCTGATGTGCTGACTGACCTTCATCCTTTGACATGATGTTGGATGCTAACAGCACAGGCAGTGTACCACTGGCTACCCAAATTCCTTTGACATTTTTAATGTCCGGACTAGCTTTTGCTATAATGCTAGGCAATGCTGTGGTCATTTTGGCTTTTGTGGTGGACAAAAACCTTAGGCTTCGAAGTAATTACTATTTTCTTAATTTGGCCATTTCTGACTTCTTTGTGGGTAAGTTATATGTCTTTATATAAAATAATCTTTTCCAACTATCATTTATTTCTAAAACCATAAAATAGGGTCCTATTATTCAGGGAACTGTATGAGTTGGAGGGGAGATTAAGAACAAAAAGTTAAAATATTAAAAAATCTGGGAAGGGGTCTATATGCCATGTTAAAGGAGATTATAGGTATATGTGCGTCTGTGTGTGTAAAGAGAATTTTCATCTGAAAATAAGTTATTTTCTCTTTATAGAATAAAAATATGAGCTCAGAATAGTTCTACCTTATTTTAATATCAGATCTATTTTCTAGTGTGTTTCAATTTACAAATGTTCTTTTCTAAGTAAGTATGACTTCCTTTGTACCCTGATGTTGAAATAATAGAAACAATGTACATATTGGTAGCCAGCACAATATAAAAATGGGATACGCAGGCCAATGAAATAGTTCAACCAATGTATTGTTTTTCGAAGTAGCACAGAATCTTACACAGCCAACAGTCAAGTACTTTGCACATAACATAGAACCACAGCATCGCGTAATTGTAACAGACTACAGAAATCAAAATAATCTTTCATTGAAAACACATTCTTTGTAATTTTTCTTATTGCTGTCTTTGAGTCTGACGCACTGCCTGCAGCACTAACGAGGCACTGTACTATCACTTTTTAACAGTGCTTATCATAATAAAGGTAGCTACAAGCTGTCCGAGGACTGATGCTATTTCGTTGGAGCTTCTAGTATAATTTCACTTGGCCCATTGGCCTATTCAGATTATTATTTTTTCTGTATAGCTACATAAAGTTTGCATTTATGCTAAAACCAAAGGAAACTCATACAATAGATTGTTCGTTGCCCAGAACACAGAGGTTGCTCAACAAATGTTTGTCCCTTCTCTTTTGATTTTTCCCCAGATATGTTTTGACGCAAATCAAGTTCACATATATTAGTATCATGCCCAGTATGTGTCAATACAGTAGGGTATGCAAGTACTGTTAGATACTGGGGGGACATACAGAAGAGTGGGTTCGTCTCTTTCTTTAATGCAGGAGAGTGGATGAGAGAGGTTCATAGATAACTATTGTAGGATGGAGCACTGGAAAGCTCCATGAAGATGCAACTAATGTTGTGGATGCCAAAGGGAAAGTAGCATTCTGAATTCACCATTGAGGGCAGAGATAACTCTAAGAGTCAGCAGTGGCATGCTGGTGGAAAATCATCCGTTGTAGCTTCCTGAGTGAGGTCCGGGCTGGCTGCTGTGCACATGGCTGAATGGGGGAAGCAAGGGCTGAAGTTGGGCTCTATGTGGTGAAGGTCTTCAGGTAGTAATGTCAGTCTGGAATGGAGCTTACCAAGCAGGCAATGTGGAGACTAAAGAATCAGAAAGCAGCTGAATGTGTCAATGGACCAAATTTACCCTTGACACATGGGAAGTGCTGGGGTGGGGGGCGGAGTGCGGCTGGGAGGTGGCACAGTTGTAGAGACTATGCTGCAGGGATCTAGGCAGAAGCCAAATGGAGACTGAGCTACTATCAGAATGCAGGGCTGGGCAGCAGGCAGGATCGCAAAGGATGGAGCTGGGCAAGGGAAACAGAGTTGAATGGCAGATTGGGCTTCTGACACTAAGAAAGGTTCGGCAGTCAGTAGAGGTAAGAGGCATTTAGGAGGGTTGAGAAGGTAGCAATAGCTCTGCTGTTGTCTTGAAAATTTCTGAGAAAGTTCTCAGCTGTAGACATTGGTTTAGAAGTCAATACACAGAAATAACAAGTCAAAGATAAAGAGAGATAACCAATATAACATTGTTTTTTGGGGGGGACAGTGGTGGGAATTGAAATCAGGGTTCCATATGTAGTAGAAGTTACTCTAGCTACCCAGACTTACAGACACACAGACAGACACCCACACACAGATACCCACACATCTTAAATCAACAACCTTCCCATTTCTCTCTTTAATTCTGTCTCTCCAGCTAACATTTGCAACTTGGTATAGATCTATCCGCATCCTCCTCTATGGCATGTAACATGTATACATTCACAAGTGTGGGAACATAGACAGCAGTTGGCTGCAGAACTCTCTCTCTCTCTCTCTTTCTCCTTCCTCTTTTTCTCCCTCCTCTTCCTCACTCTTCTGCTCTTCTTCCTTCCAAAAATTATGTGACCTTTAGGTGACACTCAGCACTTAAAAGAAATGATACACTTTGCCTGACCCAATGAGAGTAAGACCCTGGATACTCTGGTAGTGCAGAAGGAATGAGTTCAAGGGGCTGAGACAGCCTGAGGCATGGGGTGAGTGTCTTTGTGTCCAGTCCAAAGCTGGCATCTGTGAGGCCTCTCCATTCAAGGAACACTTGGAGATGTAACTGGTCTTTGAGAAATGGCTCTGCAGATATAGTTATTCAGCAGACCTGGTGGTCCCTCTCCATCAGCAGGTGGGTGGACAGAGAATTTGCTTTGTTCCTGGTGAGAGAAGTATACAGGTTACAGGACCCCCTGTCTTTCCTTTCAAAATGTGTATGTGGGGCTGGAGAGATAGGTCAGTGGTTAAGAACACTGGTTGTTCTTGCAGAAGACCGGGTTCAAATCCCAGCACCCACATGGCAGCTAACAACTGTCCATAACTCCAGTCCCAGGGGATCCAACAGCCTCTTCTGATCTCCCCGGGCATTGCACGACATGGGTGCACTTCCCTACATGCAAGCAATACACACATACATATAAAATAAAAATAAAAAATGTGTATGTATGTATGTTGTGTGTGTGTGTGTGTGTGTGCATGTGCATGGATACGTGTGTGCATGCACAAATGTGCATGTAGAGACCAGAGGACAACCTCAGATGTCATCCTCAGGAAGACTATCCACCGATTGAGACAATGTCACTCATTGGCCTGGAACTTGCCAATTAGGCTAGACTGGCTGGTCAGCAGGCCTCGGGGATACTCAGTCTCTACTTCTGCAGTGCTGGGATTGTGAGTGCATGCCATCATGCCCAACATTTTTATGTGGGTTCTGGGAATCAAACTTAGGTCTTCAATGCTTGCAAAGCAAGCACTCTACCCACTGAGCTAGCTCCTCAACCCGAGTCTCCTCTCATCTGCCATTCTTGTCGTTCACATTTCCTCTGTCCCTGACAGCTTTATTCAGAGTTCTCCTTTTCTTGTTTTTGTTTTTGAGACAGGGTCTCATTGTAGCCCCAGTTGGCCTGGAACTTGTTACATAGACTAGGCTGGCCTCAATCTCACAGAGATCTTCCTGCTTCTGCCTCCCGAGTGCCGGGATTAAAGATGTATGCCACCACACCCTGTGAGGGCTCCTTCTTTAAAACAACACTCACCTTGGCACAAGAACTGGGACAGTCCCTGAGGGCTTTGTGTAACAAGATCTGAACTTTCTGCTGATGCCCTTATCTTTTACCATGGTTTGAAGTGTGCACTTTGGCTCTGAGCCTGAGTGAGTTCATGAAGGTGGTGGGGTGAGGCAGGACAGGACACTGAGATTTTCTTGTAGCTGTGAGCCAGTCATTCATTTCAAAATTTTTTGATTAATTAATTAAATGTTGTTTTATGTGTATGAGTGTGTTGCTTGCATGTATGTAAGGGCACTTGTGTTGTGCAATGCCTGAGGAGGTCAAAAGAGGGTGTTGGATCCCTTGAAACTGGAGTTAAGAATGGTTGCTAGCCATCATGTGGGTGCTGGGAACTGAACCTTGGTCCTCTGCAAGAGCAGCCAGTGCTCTTAACTGCTGAACCATCTTTTCAACCCCCATTTAAAACTTTTTAATTAATTAATTTTTCTTTTAGGTGTGTGAGTGTTTTGCCTATATGTAAGTGCACCCATGTGTGCAATGCCCACGGAGGCCAGAAGAGGGCATTGGATCCCCTGGAACTGGAGCTACAGATTGTTGTTAGTCACCATGTAGGTGCTGGGAGCTGAACCTGGGTCCTCTGCTACAGCAGCCAGTGTTCTTAACTGTTGAGCTATTTCTCTAGCCCCAGTCATTCATTAAAAAAATACATTTATTTATTTATTTATTTATTTATTTATTTATTTATTTTGTGTGGTGGAGGGTACAAGTGTGCATGTAGAGGTCAGAAGACAACTTGTGGGAGTCAGTTCTCTCCTTCTAACATGGAGATTGAACTCAGGCTGTCAGACTTGGCAGCAGGTGTCTTTACCTGCCGAATTATCTTGCCTTTATTTATTTATTTATTTATTATTTATTTATTTATTCATTCATTCACCCATTCATTAATATTACTAAGCCAGCCATTCTTAAAGGTTGGGATGGGGTCAGGAGACACAGAGCTCTAGAGCTGTAGGGTGATGGCAGGGTCAATGAGGTCAACACAGATACTTAGGACATTGAGCCTTCCTGTTAAACACCCTCTTCTCACAGGTTTCAGAACTGGCCCCCTGCACTTTGTGATAATTGATTAGTTAGCTTCCCAGATTGAATTCATTATTGAAAAGCAAAGACTTATTGAAGAAACTATTCCATTGCTTGCTGCACCTGTGTGCTCTCTCATGGCACACTCTTTGTTGTGATTTGAATGTGCAATGCCCCCATAGGCTCACATGTTTGAACGCTTGGTTCTCAGTTGGTAGAGCTGTTTTGGAAGGTTGTGAAAACTTCAGGAAGTGGAGCTTTGCTGGAGGAAGTAGAACACTGGGGGTGGAGCTTGAGATTTGATAGCACAGCCCTGTCAGTCCTCCAATTCCTGACCATGTTAGCAGCTTCCTCAGATTCCAGTCACCAAACATTTGCAGGTGATGACCTGTACCCCTTAAACTGTAAGACAAAGTAAACCCTTCTACCCCTAAGTTGCTTTTTGTTAGGTGTTTGATCAGATTAATGAGAAAAGTAACTAATATACTACTGATATAAATGTGATGGAAATGTCTGTTAAATTGGTACCGTGTGACTGGTGTTTCTATCCATGAACATTTATGACTGATACAGTCATATGATGGATGGCAGAACAGGATCTTAAGAGGTGAAAGGTGGTTG